TGTTTAACGGTTAAAGAGTATATTGCGTTTCGGCATTATCACCTGCTCGCCGAGCATAAAGCAGCCAACTTGAGGAAAGATTGATTCCCGAACTGCAAACGTGAGATTGCAAACGCTCGGCTTCTTTGTCAGTTTAACTTCTGTGCCGCGGGCCGACTCTAAAAATAAATCATCTTTTCACTCTGGCTTAAGTTCCAGAGGTTTAAAGAATATAAGGTTGAGTTTAGACACGCTGACTTCTAGAAATGTTGAGAAGAATCGATAGTTATTGGTATGCGGTAACCATATACATATGATTACCATATTGAATTCAGTTGCATGTAAAATCTGTTAACAGAGGCTCGCTACAAATGCTTCGAAACATTTTTAACACCAAGACAGTATACCTAAATTAGTTTCAGTTCATCAAATCTATTTGAATACAAACGGGATCTCCTCAATGTATCCGCGATTATCATGAATTCTAATTGCGTTTTCCTATGATTTGAACTTTTGAACCACGATTTGAAAAGAATGCATTAAATAAAAGTCTCGATCGCTGATTATGCTCGCAGTCGATGATGTTAATACTATTCATTGAAACTATCTTTCGCTCGACGAACGATCACGTTTCGCCTGATACTCGTTGACTCGGATGACGTTGACACCGGTAATAGACAGCGCGTATTACAGACGCAGTCTCGCTCGATGTGTGACGCAACAGCACAATCGCGCAAAAAGCGACGACATGTGCATGCTCACGCAGTGGAAGGATGCACTGCCGATTTACTTTCAATTTTGCCGTGCCGATCCTCGTGACTGACTCGGTTTTAACCAGCACGGAAAACGTTTCCGCTTTCGAGGCCGTTCCCTGAGACGTCTCAATGTGTTAGCGATGTGAATTCCTTGTAATTCTCCGGAAGTCGTCTCTCTTCAGTTGTTTCTCAAACGAGAAAATTATGCTGCTACCGTAAGCATTTTTAATTGCAGCATTTATTTACTGGCCGACAACACGATGACGTTCATACTGCAATTAAGTATCACCTTAAAGTCACAACAATCTGTTTGCGTTCTCCGACTGGCTTCGGTAAAACTACGCAGATCCGAAGTTCTCTCGATTCGTCGGTTTGTCAACAACCGTGCGAGAAAACATTTACCTTAACGAACATGATTCGAACACTGTGCATGTTTACCACGTAAATCACCGTTCGGTTTCGTTGAGAAGATTTTCACCCGTGCTTCGGAAAGAAAGTATGCGTGCGTACACGCGTGTCTACGTGTGCGTCTAAACATGTTATACGCGTAAGAATAATGGAAAGTACCATTCTGTGTGTTCTCGATCCTTTGGTTACACGATAAATCACTGCGGCAATTAAGTCGCCGCTCTTACTCGCGTCCTTTTGCTTTTACGACATGGATGACAATCATTCGGGCAAACGAAGTATCGTGATATCAATTACCAGAGACGTTTGTCTGTTATGATACAAGTTTATTGAATCACTGTTTGCGCAAATTAACAATGGCAATGGGCCTCAGGTTCCATTATCGCATATTTTCGCAAAGTACCAAAATTTCTCCCACGTTCATATTTTGTTTTCAATATTCGTGTAATTTTCTTTTTTTTTTTTTTTTCAATAGGATGGTAACATGATAATAACAATAATAATGACAATAATAATCCAAATAATAATTAATAATAATATAATAATAATAATAATGATAATAATATACAATAATAACGGGATATGCGAGCTAATTATAATAGTCAAGAGATATAACAAGTAAAATATACATATGCTCTTATGTACCCAGCAAACGAGAATGAATTAAAATGGATTGGACATTTTGTCTATTCGAATGCGTATTTTAAACGGTGAAAACTTTTTTTTTTATTCAATTGGATTCAATTGGATTCAATTAGATTCAATTGGATGCAATTGGATTGAAAAATGACGTTTTCTATTCAAAATTTTGAATTGAACAATATTCACGATGTACTGAAAAAACTGATATTATTTTTAGATTGAGGCATACAGATATGTTCCGTACAATTTCTATAAATGAATAAAAATTTATTCAGGATTGAAAAAGATTCATTTTAATATTCATGAATCCGTGTATTTCTGAAAATCTGAATCCATTTTAATTGATTTCAATCCATTTGCTGGGTATGTATACGTGATCATAATATATGCATATTATGATATCGTACCGTAAATTGCGAAATAAATTTTCCCATTCGATAAATAAAACAATACGAATCGCGTAAATTTCCTTTGATTAAGTGATATGATTTGTTCGGTGACAAAAATTACCCTCGCCTCGCTCCTTTCTCGACTCCAATCACCCCTTGTTCCCAATGGATGTTTTCCCCCAACGTTCAATATCAAATCTTTTCTAGTTTCTCTCCAGTTACTAACTAACTAATAAATTTTATATATATAATAGCAATATATATACAATGCATGACCCGCAACGGCGAATGTGCGTAATAGGTAGAGTATCTATTATGCGAATGCACCTCGTGACAAAAAGCCAATCGGTCCTTCTCTTCTAGACTGGATTATTTCGTGTTGCCTATGCGTTTTCTTTCGGTCCGTTTTGTCTACCTGACCCTATTTTTCTTAAAAAATGTTTCGCTCGTCTTTTATGCTGGTTTTACTTTTGACATTTCTGTTCGATATTTCTCTCACAATCAGTTTACCGCTCTCTTTTATTATTGAATATTATAAAAAAAAATTATTTAATAACAAATCAACCACGTTACTGTCAGACACAAACGTGCATCGTGAGATAAGCGCCAGACGTAAACCCAGCATTACAAATTTTGTAATCTTGTAAATGAGAAATCGTTCGATTTGCCCAGCGAAATAGCAGACAAGAATAATTTCCTTCTTTTGTGCTGTTTGTAATTTCAATATATGGACAACGTCGAAAATATCATCCCGCTGTATCTCGATCGAACGCTTTATACTTTATATCAACTTCGGAGCCACGTATTTGCGCTTAAACCAAGATTTTCGGATTCGGAGTATAATTTGAACGCGAATGCATATGTCGCTGATGAAATTCGCGCCAAAAACTCGCAGAAGTACACTGGCTACGTCATTGGCACTGTCAAAGCAGAGGAATAAGAGAGAAGCTTAGTTTCGCTATGAACAAAAGCGAGATCCTTCGAGTTAAAAGGCGACCTCGACTTTCGACGGTCCTCGCTTTCCGGCCAAATTGTATCCGAGATCGCGCGAGAACGGTATCGCGTAGTGTGTGTGTGTGTGTGTGTGTGTGTGTGTGTGTGTGTGTGTGTGTGTGTGAACAAAGTCTGCAATCGCAATCGGCGTTTACACGATTATTTACAAATTTACCTAGAGATATACAAGCTATGCCCTCGAGGCTAGAAAAAAATACGGTCGCTCGAGCGCAGGAAGGCCGATCGTCGATCTATCGTGAAATCATGAGGTGAAGGAATACGAGAGATAACTCTCGCGATTTGTGCGTTTTCGCGAAATACGAGATAAACGTCAGTGAACCGGCGATATCGTGGATCAAAGAGCGTTTGATACTAGTTTTACGTCTCGAATAAGTCACGGGATGATTATCTTCTTCCGCGAGACGTTCGCGAGATATCATCGAAAATCGTGTTCAATTTGCTTCTAATTTTGATGCCCGACAGACACTAATCGATAAAAATCACTTGTATGTACAGAGATCGCGATTTTGCGTCTCGGTGAATGATGTTATCGCGATAGCGTGCGCGCGATTGTTACGATGAATCATCCGCATATTCAGCTCCAATATTTTTCTTAGACGTAGAACGTAAAAAGCGTTTCGGAGTAAACAACGTGAATTCTTCGCGTCGACGAAAAACAAGCGCGCGTCGATCTTCGATCTCTCACCGAAAGCTAAGGACGGAAGCACAGAGTTTTGCATAACGCATAACGCATAATATGTATAAGAAAATGAATCAGTCAAAGTCCTTCATTTCCTTCCTCTCCAAGAAATGAAAGACTTTGATTGGTTTTCTTATGCTTCGCATGCATTGCGCTTTACGTCAAAGGTCTGCGGCGCTTCGGCCTTCATTCATATACGTAGCGAAAACGTTTCTCTCAACTTGTGCGCGCAGAGGTTCGCACATTTCGCTATCGGGGAACTTTGGTAATTCTAGACAAGATACCGCTCGATGAGCTCGAATCTCAGCCATCGATATTCTCAACGATAGTAATTGTAACTATAATCCCGCAGGGCTCGTAAAAGTTCGACGACTATAACAACACTTTCTATGTTTCGTCTGTTTATAATAAACTTACGCCTTAATTTACCGTAATCGTTGTGGAACGCTATAAATGCTCGGATGCGCGTTAACGAATCTTTACGCGTACGGCACCACGGCTACAATTACGATCATTGCTAAGTAATAATCGCTACTTTTAAGGAAATAGCCGTAAGTACGATTCGAAGATAATTCGATCTGAGTACCGCTTCAAATCCAACAGCGCCAGCTTTTATTAAAAGTGATCGGTAAGCGGCTGACTCGTCGATTAAAAAGTCGATTGTGTACAATTCGATCGTCGCTATTGCTGCGCTCGAGCCGATCGTCAGAAAAGAGAAAATTATGACTAGAGAAGAAGATTCGTATGTCGGATACGATCGATCGGTGTCCCGCCCGAAAGGGCTCAACCTACTCTTACAAGTAGCGTTATTAAAGTATTTGGTGTAAAAATAGGTATGATACACAGGCGTCGGGAGTGCACAGCGCGCCTCCCGCGTTTCCAAAAAGACTCGTCGATGTTTCCCTCTCGCGCAAACGACAAACTGCGCTTGGGAGTTCCATCGCTTTTTTTTTTCTCAAAAATTTTTGCCCAATAAATATTAGTCTGTCAATCAAAAAGGATCTAAGCGACAAATGTCGAAAAAACGCTTTATCAGAAAATCCTTGTCATACACAAGTATTTTTAGAGAGTTTAAAAAAGACCTTCAAGAATGCAATTCGTTATTTAAATTCTTTCAAATTACTGTTACTCTCTTTCCTTCTCACTTTTTTTTTTTTTTTTGAAGCTTAAGTCCTTTTCAATTTACAATATTCAAAGGCAAATCCATTTTAAATCCCCTCGAGAATACCTAGGAGATACTTTCTCGTTTCAATGCTGCTCCCTCTATTTACTCGTCTACTTAGATTTTTCGCAATCGCTCGAAATTCGACTACGGTCGCCTTCGCGCGACAAAATCTCCGCCGAGATTGATCCTCTTCGAGTTCCCTTTTCGTCGGTCCCGATCCAAAGATTCCCTCTTTCAACGTAGCGCCCGCAGCGCGTAAGACTGAATGAATCGCTGGTGAAAGCCATTCCCGGCGATTCTTGGTGCGGCCACACTGCCGTTTTCCTTCGAAATTCTGGCTCGGTGACGACTCAAAGCGTCGCGGCGCCACCGGGTCTCAGGTCACGTCCACGTTCACGAGTCCGTGAACCCGATCGTCGGCTGGCTGCTACGTCAGCAGTTTGAAGAACATCAAAGCTAGGGATATGTTGATGAAGAGCACCAGCATCACGAGCTGCTGGCGGGAGAACCAGTCCTGAAACAATATCGGATATTACATTATTGTTTCTCTTATAGCTTCGCCGCGTCACGGCGTCGTCGCCGCTTGGAATCGGAGCCAAGAATTTAACGAGGATTCATATCGAATGATTTATATCGACATTACATCAATAAAATTGTCTCCGCACGCGTAACGTAACGCAGCTGTCGCTGTGTTTCCATTACTCCGTGTTTGTAATCTTAAGTGACCCCACACGATCAATAATATTGATCGGTGACATTGAATCAGTAATGCTGATGACAATAAGCACTAATATATTTCTAGTATTTTTACAACCTTACATGTTCAGTATTATTGACAATTTATTTTACTTTAGTTTTACGTTTATTGTATTATCTATTGCATATTGATGCTCAAGAATCAAAATCTAAATCATCGTCGGTATTCTACGTCAATCCATCGATATTATCATATACGATTAATAGTGTTATCAGTATTAACTTTTATGCGTCGTCTATAATATGCGAAATAAGTTTAGTATAAGAAATTGACCAATCACAGTCAAATATGAGAAGAATAATCGACTATGATTGGTCAATTTCTTATATGAAGTGTCTACGACTTCTATTGTAGACCCCACGTTATTCTCGCTTCTTACTGCATGTATTGTAAACTACGCATTGTCGGCCATCTACGATGGGAGTAATATTGTGCAGTAAAGAGTAAGCTGTAAGAAATTGACCAATCATAGTCGATTATTCTTCTTACTTCAATAGTAATTGGTAGATTTCTCACGGTTTGCCACTTACAACACAATGTTACTCTTATTGTAGATGATCCTTTATGCCTGTTCTACAATAGCTGTAAGTGTAGTTGTAAGTGGTTTTAGTTGTAAGAACTAACAATTACAGTCGAATATTCTCCTCATATTCCACTTGATTTGATCAATTCTTACAACTACACTTACGGCTATTGTAAAATAAGCATGAAATATTTCATTCATCGTCTTGAGATCCAGGCACGAGAGTAATTTCATTCGGTTTACTCGCTACTCGCGATTGCGAAACCGGATCAAGCGGATTTCGAGAACCGCGCGAGAACCTTACTATAGAATCATCGCGTTTCTGCGTGGTGCGTTATATTTTTGCGTAGCAAGTCGAGACGTACAGGACCGAGCCGAAATAAACCGTAACACTCTGCCAAGTGTCGCTCCGTGTTTTCTCTAGTAACGGCGCGTTGATGCTGCGCCATTGTCAACATCGAATAGTTTCGGCGGTCAGGTAGAAACACGGAGGATACTCACTTTAACCTGCGGACTGACCAGGTACAAAAGCGGGTTTGCTCTAAGCCTCTCGCTCTCGTCGACTTGCCTGCGGATCTCCTCTCTTCTCATACTACTCAGAATACTGACTTCTTCCCTCGACAGTGGTGCGGTTGCCGTGAGGTGGATCGGCTGCGCCACGTCCGGCAGTGACTTCTTTCGTTGAAGGGGCATTGCCGCTACCGGCATCGCCTGCACGAAGGAAATAAACGAGAAACAAAAAGAGAGATGGGCCTCGAGCGACGGACGCGAATTACTTATCGACACTATGTACATTGCCGTAACGTCTTATGTTATAGTAAAAAGAACTTGTCTTATACAGCATCAAACGGGTATACAATGGAAAGAGCAAAACGAAGTTATTGTCAAGCATTAGCAATTGTATACTTCTGAATATACTTCTTACAGGGAATAACGTTAAGTTCATAACTAGGTGAGGTGTAACGTATTGGTTATATTTTAATTAAACATCTATTGTTAATAAAGTACAACGGTTTAAGAATCGGTTTCGTGAATATATTAATTTCAAAATTTAATTTACACCTTTTCGCATCGTCTATAAATTATTTTTAACTCTTAAATACGCGTTGCCAAGAATGTCGTTCGTATCTCTACGAAATTGATGAAGTTACGAGCATTCGATCGAGAATCAAGCAAGCAACTAGCAAAGCGGAAATTCTATGTGTAGAACTTTATTTTTATATAAAGATTTTTTTTTAAAATTCGCAATAATTGCTTATTTTTTACACTCGAAAAGATGAGAAAACTCTTTTAAGCGAAATTCTGCTCTATTCTGTTTAAGATTATTAACATATTTTCATTGTATTTATTGAAGCTTTTGTTTTATATCAGAGCTGTAAACGCATAAACCGGTGTTTCTTTTGTTCGAATTTCTGTTTGCTCGCTTGCGTGACATGAAAAGTTAGACAGCTCTGTTTCATATCGGTCGTGAAACTACTATTGAATTTTTAACTATTGACTATCCAGACAATTGAATTTTTTGTTCAATCTTTTACATACAGTCAATCACAGTATTAGTCACTGGATTATATTATTACGACTCGTTAATTAATTTGGATTTGATTCTATAGTCCTAGCAGCGTTCTTCACGAAACCGATTCAAAATTGTGTTAGAGCAACGAATTCCCGTAATTACGTATTTTATTAATTCAGCATTTCATGCGAACGCAACGGGTGGCGAGGAGAAAGATAGAGTACGAGCGGAAGGGAGGGTCTTTGGAGCCGTTCCAAACCTAAGAGAGAGACAAGGTTTTCTCGAGCACTGTGAGTGAGGTACAAGGGCCGAGGGGTCTAAACCCAAAACGATTCGTCGTGTTGACCTTCACATTCTTATTGTACGACTAAATAAACTGTTCAGAGATCACAGTTTTTCCAAGGAAAAACTATATACCTGTTAATATATCTGAGATTTTGAGCAAAAAAGTAAAATAACGTAAAATATAATTTGAATTACAACCGAGAACTCCCTTTTTATACGAAAATTTATTCGTATTATTGTTATAAAAGAAAATGCCATACGCGTAGCGTGATGTTCTGAACATTATGTGAAAAATTTTAGCCAATAAATTCTAAATGTCGCATAATGATATACGTTTTACTTCTTGTCGCAATAATATATATGTAGATAATTTATACAAGATGTTAAGAATCAAAGATTTATCGTTAGAGAGCACGAATTGACTTAATAAGTGTAATACAAAATTTTCAATTTTATCATACATTGCATAGAATGGTACTGAGATTTATACAATTTTTTTTTCTACAAATCGATTCTAGTCATTTTTTACTCAGAGATTATTCAGTATCTGCGCTCTTTAAGTCTTGAATCTTGTTTTTTAACACCCTGTATAAGTCATGCATATTAAATTGCGACGTTGCGAAACGCCTCTTGCCTCGCATTGAATATTTTCGCATATCGCATGTCCTTATCTCTTGCAATCTTCTTAAATAAGAACAGCAGTTAAATAAGGCCACGCGTTTTTTTTTCTATACGCTATATATTTATGCAATCTATTGTGTTTGCTGACTGTACTCGTTTATTACGACGATGTTCTACCTCCACCCTTCTACACTTCATCGAGCGTGCTTCGTTGCCGCTAAGCACGGCTGATTCCACCCCTAATGATCGCGCGAGCAAACAACGTTTCTCCCCGTTTGTTATCTATTGCGCTGTTTTTTTTTCTCTCATCTTCGTCCCGTAATTTCTAGCGTCTCGAAGAAAATTCCAGAGAAAATTCTTTGCCCACCCTGCATGAACTCTTACGCACTGCTTGGCTTTTGTTATGAAAATGTTAGAAGGTGACAAATGTTCGCTTCGCGTACCTCCACAGGAGGTGCTACGATCCAGGACTCCGAGGCCCGCCTGGCCATCAGAGCGGGGCTGCATAGCAACGCTTCCTCCTCCTCGTCCGTCTCGATCCAAAACATCTCTGTTCTCACGATGATTCGTGGGCACCCTCAGAAAATACATGAAAATCTTTCGAGTTCTTAACCACCCGCGAAGAAGATCATTCTCGTTCGCTTGGCTCAACTTTCTTTATTTTTTTTTTTAATTGCACTTTCGTCCTGTACTTGATGATTTCATAAAATTTTCTTTAAAATCTGTAATGAACTTGCAGCCCTTGATATTGGTATGTACAGTTTTCTTCAATTATCGGATTTGTGATTATCGGTCGATATTATCTTGTCACTTTTATGCATCGATGACGAAACCAAGCGAACACTGTTCTCTTCGAATCTACATTAAATTCGAAAGATCATTTCGGAAGCAATAATCGAGCCAGCTGGCGCTTCCGTTCACACCGGGCTTCCTTTATCTTTCTCTCTTTCTCGAGCGGAAATGTCTTTTGAAACTGCACATGCATTCGAGGATGAAACCCGTTCGCTTATCTTTCAGCCATATTTCGACGATTTCCGGGCACGAAAGGGGGCGAATCGAAGTGTAAATTACGGATTCGCAGCCTCTTGGTAAGGAAGCCGGGCCGCAGACTGAACGGCCCTGGCTAGCACGACCGAAATAGAGCGATGCCCCACTATCTTTGAAATAACTTTGCCGAGCGTCGCGACGCCCGTGGAGATCTGCGTCGAGACGCTGCCAAAACCCTGTCGATTCTGCTGATTTACGAGGTTTATAACGGCGAATATGGCGTGAGGAGAAAAGATCATGCTCCAATCTCAAAATTCGACTCGCTACTTTTGATTCACTTGACGTTTGCAAATTACTTCTCCCGAAAAATCTCTCCGACAAATCTTCAATTTTCCTCAAATCTTCGAAATAGCTAAAGTTATTTTCAAATTTAAATTACTAAAACATTAGGAAAAAAAAGAGAATTCAAAATTTAAATTACAAATTTTATCGTACCACCGTGAGACAGTCTTACGCAAATCAAGTCCAGACTCGAATTATTTGACTCATGCGTTTGGCATGCGAATATATATACAGCGAGGATTTCGGGATTTTCGCGCGCCAAGAAAACGTCAGTCCCACTTATTTGCAATTTCTTTGTCTGTCATTTATCGCGTTGCGCAGTCTGTCCGTTGTTGCAGATTAGTTAATCGTATCCGGCAAAGTAATTCGACTGGCATGGTGCAACGATTTAATTTGCTTCGCTAATGGCGCGATTACCTCGAGGCAGTTCCCTTATCGAATCGATTGTTTAATTCCGATTTAATTAAATGCATGACGCTAATGACATAATATTTTTTTCACGATGGCAATTATATTCACGTCGATACAAATTTATCTGTTCTCAATCGGATTAGCACAACAATAAATAATGGTGAATAATGAGCGGTTTGTTACACTTGTCACGAAAAAGAAAACGTTAATATTCCGTAACTTTTGGAGCTTCCGTATTTCTGCACGTTGTACGATTATATCTCAAACGAAACTTGACAAATTATAAGAAATGATAATGATAAAATTAATATTAAAACCGGAACTTCCATGGCCTCGTTCACGAACTGTATACAATCGCGCAGCCTTCATTGTTTGCGATCTTCTTCCGTGAATCTACATATTGCCCACAATTTCCATAGACTCGTTTGAATATTACGATTGCTCAATTGAATCTTAGAATATTAACATCTTATTATGTAAAACACACATACTGCAGCCATTAATCATATTTTCAATACCCTATTCGATATCGATTTTTTGTCACGGCGAATACGCTAATACAATACCTCTGTTAGCATTTCTGAAAAAAAATAGACAATAGAGGCAGTAAGAAGTCCGATTTACGCGATTTACTCTCTTTAATCTGTCATTATAACAACAGCTTACACATGATATACACAAAATACATTCAGTACATCGAATGCAACGTCGTTGTTTGGTGAACGAAAATCGGTACAATTCCTACATTAAGATCGACTTTCTCGTGGAATGTAATCTGGAAATTTACCGAATATGCATATTATCTATTTCGATCCTTGTCTGATCTTCTACATCTACATGAGCTACGTATCTACAAATAATTGTGCGTCACGCTATAAACAAGAACGTGATTATATCTGATTTGTTAAATATCTAGAAAAGCTTTTGTAAAGTCGGAAACAGAACAACGCTTATATCGCAAGGTTGGCACTTGAGTGCGAGATTAAGAAAAGTACTATTTTCAACGTTGACGAAATGTCGATGCTTCCCTCGTGCTTACTTCTTTCCGAACAGTCGATACTGTACTTGAAGTTCGTCATATAAGCGAGTAACTTGTGAACACATCGGTAGATTAACAGCTTAAGTCAGAATTCAAGTGTTTTGTTTGGGAATGTTACATTCCAAGTTGCACTTGTACATCATTGTTGCATTTTATGCGGACCCGCATAAATCGTAAAAGCTCTTCCTCGCTATAACACTCTTTGTTTTTGTGCAACCATCGTTATTGTCGAAACCATGATTTGTGACTTAAGGTGTTAACGCAGATATATTAAATATCATTAAATCTCGGCCCTGTATGAAAATATAGTGAGTATTCTTTCATAGTTTAATTAAAATCCTCAGAGTAATATCTTGTTTGTGCGATCAATATAATTTCTATCAATTAGAATTTTATATATTCCGATTATATAGACCATTTAAGAATTAGGCTCACAGTTACAGGTATCATTGGCAAATTCGATCGTTAAAGGTCTGCTCTTAATCTTATTATCATACATAATTTCGCCATACCATCTGCTCGTAAATTCGAATATTAGCCTTATTTACATGGAACATATTCAACCTGGACGTCTTGCTGTATAAAGAATCATTAGCGTATATAAATGTATTTGACACAGACGGTTCTAAAACTCGCGTTTCCAATTCCCTCTTTCTTCTCAAAAGCGCGTTTCACATTTCTCAATACATATACATAAAATAAACTTTCGCACATATCTTTTCCTTCGCGTTAACAGTGGGCAGCAAATTATTCTACGCGATGATTCTTATGCGTGCGCGATGTGCGTGAAACAGGTAACGTACTACAATGTAACGTCCGTAAATATATATATGTATATCGGCAACAGCGACTAACATCGTAAATTTAATTAGACTCCTGCGTGCTTAAGGCTCGTTTCGTATCGAACGTCTCCCCCACGATTTACTTTCATTTTCAACAAATTCCTATCTGTGCACACACGGCGCCGAATGTGTAAACTCGAATTCACGACAAGCATGCGTTAGAAAAAGAACGTTTCCAACCAGAAAACAGAAAAAAGAAACGGCGTGGAGGTGGTAGATATAAAGATGAGTCTCTCGTAAAGCTCGTACGTTTGCGAAGTAATAATAATTAGTGGTTACCCTCTCTGTGTGATAGCAATACTAATATTTGATAAGTCGAATGAAAAACCATTTGGGTGGTGAGCTTGAACACAGCATAGCGAAATTCAACTAGAGCGTATCTGAGAGTACAGATTGAGCGGTATCGATCGGTCGAGTAATCTAGGCGAATAATCTAGGAGAGGTGGCTAGCGAGAGGGCACGGAAGAAGGGTCGAAAAAGACTTAAAAATATGGTTAAAGAGGGTTAAAATAGAATGGAAGAGTAAAAATATGGTCCCCGCCTCCACGCCGCGCGCTAAGCTTACCTTCCGAAGTCCGTTAATTAGCGGTTATAATAGACGTGATAAGCGTGCGCTCGCTTTAGCTCAACTCCGCGCACAAGTTTATAACATTCGTATATGTGCGCATACAATTAACGCAGATTGCCTAATGCTTAATTCGAGTAGCTATTCGCAAAAAAAAGAGAGAAAAAACGGAATGTCACATATAATGTAGAAGAATTGTGCGCGAACAAGGATTCGTGTTTCATCTTTTTCCGTCGTTTTACAAAGTGGAGAGCCAACTTGTAAGTATATTACTTCGTTTCAGCGTAATCTTTTCTGTGCGAATATCTATATATATACATATATCGTACATATATCGTACACAGACACTTTCGTTTATGCTTGTAAATTTAGTTTATACACTCGCGTTTTATATATCTGCGCGAATTAATAATCTTATTCGACCATATAGTGTACCGAGCGGAAAAGAATAAAAATCGGAGGGCATTTAGTTGCTTCTTCTCTCTTGCTGAAAGGAACTGTACATAGTGTTACATTTATTGTTCGTTGAACTGGTCCGTCGGCGATCTCGCATGTTACCCAATGGGCATAATAGATCGTATCTCGAATTGATATAATGAGGCGACGTCGTCGTTGCCAATTCACGTTTTCAAGCGCGGTTTGCGAAATCCGCTAATCCTCTTTAGCGTATAATTCCGTTTCTCAATAGCGTTTCCTAACGACAGCAATCTTCTTTCATGACCAAGACGAAACACGATCTAGGATACCTCGGAAATATTTAAGCTCTATCATTTCTTGTCGACTATACGTTTTGATCGTCACTTATTTAATCCTGAAATAAATTCACGCTCCCTTTATCGTTTATCGGCTCCAGCGGATTAAACGGGACATGCTATATCTTTCTCCAATTCGTTGCGCAATATTAATAAAGCGAAGTATTAATCGTTATTACCAAACGCTGATACGAAACGGATTTATTCCAGGATTAATGGTGATGATCAAAAATTGACGATAATTCTAGATTGTTCGCGTGAGTGAACAAATAGTATCACTCACTAGGCTCGCAGTGTTCCTATAGAAAAATAAGTCGGTCTCCCATAAATATGCATTGCTCATTTCAAATGCGCTTCCTTCAACCGCGATTCTATTATAATGAGCGTCTTTTATTGTTCGACATCGCGGCGAAGTTAACAGCTAATAGCAGGTACAAGTGTCTCTCCGTTAAGCGTTACGTCCCATAACATAGCACCAAAATTTTTCACGAAAAATGTTCGTTACTAGAAAATTCTCTCATTTTCATATAAGGCCCCGCTCTGGAAACCTACCTCACATTTTTAACGTATATATCAAGTGAACGTGCGTAAACTGCGAAAATTCAACCATTCTCCGACGGGAACCGAACAAATCGGTTTTTCTCGCGAGCCTGTTTCAACAGCTGTAGTAACATAATTAATTATTCGGACACAGCGTTCAAGCCGCGCAATTGCGTCTCTTTTTTTTCTTTTTATAGTTAAGATAATATCGGACGATGCAGAGATTCGTAAATTCATAGAAAAATATCGTCAATGTGCGCGTTTAAAACTGCCCCGAGACGAGATTGGTTATCGGAACTTAATTCGTTCTGAAATATTCAATGCGCCGAGGTGAGTTGGGCGGAAACGGCGATCGGGGTTGCGCGACTCGTGATTTCTTACTTTTCCGATTCGGCTCGAAATGCTACACGAGCCTATCGAAAGCTGCGCTTCCTTGCCAACCGCTATTGCATAACATCGCTCTGTATACATATTTTATACTTATACTTATAGGGTTGCGCGGCCCTTTGACGTTGCGGCGAAGGCGGGGACCG